AAGATGGCTTTGCTATTCCATGCGGACAGGTTGAGAATCCACCATCGCAACTCGTCTTTCGTCTCGCTGTCCAATGATACCAGATCCACGTAGGATGCCCCGGATCTTAGGTGGGCGATCTTTAGGCGCTGTAGCGCTCGGTAGTGGAGCGGACCTGGGAACACGGCCTGTATCGAGGAGGCCAGCAGGCCCATGAGTCGTGCAAGTTGGCGTAAGGTGAGCTGGGGCCGGATGAGGGCCCTGCGTAACTCTTTGCGGATTGATCGAATTTTGGATATCGGGAGGCTCAGCGCTGCTTCCCCCGAATCCACCAGGAATCCTAAGAATTCCATGCGAGTGGCGGGGGTCAGGCATTACTTCTCCCAGTTGATTATGAAACCTAAGCGTGAAAGGAGGTTTATGGCCAGCCGTAGATGTGTGAGGAGGGTGGAATGCTCCTGAGCCATGAGGAGAATATCGTCTAGGTAGACGATTAGTCGAACTCCTCGACTGCGTAGCCAGGCCATCACAGGCCATAATAGCTTCGTGAAGCACCACGGTGCTGAGGAGAGGCCAAAGGGTAGGCAGGTGAACCGCCATGTTTCGTGCCACCAGTAAAAGCATAGGAGGTCTCGAGATGCCGCCGCTATCGGCACTGTCAGGTACGCGTCTTTTAGGTCTAGCTTCGCTAGCCAGTCTCCGTGGAGGAGGAGATCTCTTAGTAGGTGAATACCTTCCATCTTGAAATGGCGGTACCTGACTATGGCATTGAGGGGGCACAAATTTATGACGGGTCTCAATTGGCCGCCCTTCTTTTCCACCAGGAAGATATTGCTTATGACACCTGCGGGGTTGAGGGGTGCTTGTTCAATAGCCCCTTTGATAAGGAGGGTTGAGAGTTCCTCGTCGATCCGTCTGCGATCCTGGAGGGAAAAGCAGATCGGTCGAGGAGGGGGAATGTGTGAGATGATTGGTGAGTTCTATATTGAAACCCCGAATAGTGGTCAGTACCCAGGGGTCTGAAGTGATTTGTGACCAGGCTGGGAAAAAATGTTGGAGTCTGCCCCCTACGTAACCCGGAGAAGAAATGTGTGGTATGAGGTAACTCACTGTATGGTTGTCTTGAGCTTGGGTTACCCCGAAAGCCTCTGGATCGCCATGGACGTCCGCGGATGGAAAAAATGTGGGGCGGGAGGTGGAATCCTGGTACTGGTTACGGTGCTGGAAGGAGCCTCTTCCCGTGCCACGGGATTGGGGGTAACTGCGGCCAGACAGATGGCTCCTGAATCTGCCGGCCCTGGTAGAGACCCGCCCCTGGAATACTCACCTCATGGAGGCTTGGGCCTTGTCTAGAGCCGTGAATGCTCCAACGAAGCGCCCTAAATCTTTTATAAAGGAATCTCCGAAGAGAAGTCCTTGGGCGTCTTTACCCGCTTCCGTAAGGGCGAGGTTGGCCAGTTTGGGCTCAATTTTGAATAATATGGCCTTACGCCTTTCTATAGATAGGGAGGTATTTACACTTCCAGCAATGCATATTGCTCTCTGGACCCAACCTCTAAGGTCTTCGGTGTCAACCATGCGGTTCTCCGCTCTGGCGTCTTCCGCCAAGTCAAATAATTTGGCCAAGGGGCCGAATATGTCCAGGTGTTTGTCCTGGCAGGATTTCAATGCCGACTCCAGTCCTTTACGCGGATTCCAGCCCATTTTAGTGAGGAACTGGGTCATCTTGGGGTCTACCTCCGGAGTGTCACAAACTTTGTTAGGTACCACAGGCCTAGGACACTCTGCCCTCAATTTGTTGCGGGCCGCTTTACTTAAGGGTCTTCTGACCCAATTTTCCAGATATGTGGCAACGTGGTCAGCCGGGAGCCACTCTGCTGACCTCGGATGGTGTAGATCATCCGGGTCGAAGAGTGGGACAACCGAAGGATCCACAAGGGTGGACCCCGCAGCCGCGGGGTTCCTGATACCTATCTCGCCTCCGGGCATCTCTGCCTGAGCAGAGGAAAGGAGGTCAAAACCAGCATCAGCGGCATCCGCATCAAAGTCAGTATCCATCTCGCTCTTAGCCTCCTCATTTGACCCGATTTCTGAGTCAGTGTCGCTCTCTATCTGTGCTCTGGCACATTTCCATAGCCCCGCCTGTTCTGCCTTGCGCGGAAAGGCTCTTTTGCGTGGATGGGACACGCTTTCTGGGGCGACCGAAGGTACGCCAGTCATGGTGTTTCTGGAGGCAGAGGGGTGCTTGGACTTATGGGTAGCCTTTTTAAACACCTCTTTAAACACCTCTCCCTGGGGTTTCACAGAGGGACAGGGTAAAGGCGTCGAGAGGCCCGAAAGTTGCTCGTCTGAAGGACGTGGCAAGAGGGCTTGTGAAATGGTGTGGGAGAGGGTGGAGGACATAGACCCCATGGCCGCCATAATGGCGTCTGCAGCGCTAGGAACTGTGCCCCATCAGGGTGGGTAGTTCCATCAGCCATAGTAGGCGAGTTGTCTGAGGTGACAGGAGCCTCACTCCTAATGAGTGGGGTATCAGACTCCCCAGAGGGAGTGGACCCAGTGGATAGTCTGGGTTTAGGCATGCTGAGAAAATTAGCAGGGAATAATAGGTAAGAGAAAAGGTACGGGTTAGTCACCCAAACAGCTAGACAAAGCTAAAAACGCTCTCACCAGGGCCCAGACCAGTGACACACTAAGATGTAGGAGACAGGAAGTCTGAAAATGGCCGCCGGTAATCTCACGGGATAAGCGGCAAAACTACCGAACATTCGGTAAAATAAGGTGAATTCGGAAACCAGATAGGTAAGTATATGGGAATATAGAGTAGACGAACGTGCCGTTCGCATAAAAATTTTGAATGCGGCAAACATGCGAACGCTCTGTTCGCCGAATAGGGAATGATATGTGTGTGTGGTGAATCAGCCTAATAGGCTCAATTTGCACGCATACACGGCCGGGGAGAGAACGTGCGCAAAATGGCGCCAGGGCAGAAAGACAGACAGGAGACAAGACTACATTGACAGGGGAGGTCTGGGCCCTGAGACTAACAGAAAACAGATAAAGACATAGAGGTCTAAATAAATACATAAATACAATAAATACAAATAAATGTAAAGTAAATATGGTAGGAAAAACTATAGAATGCTACCAGGTTTAAGTGGTAAGCAGACTGACAGAAAATATCAATGAGAAAAAAACAGTATAATAAGAAAATATGAAGAGAAAAATGACATGTACTTATCTTTGTGTTGGAGCAGCAAAGAAAGAGGGAAATGGAAGGGAAGTGCTGCCTGTTATACTGGGACCTGAGCGGGGAAGGGCCTATGTTACTGCATGTTCATTATTTTTTTTTCATTCTGTTTGTATTCTTTGCTGCTATTGGTGGACAGTAAAGAAAGGGATATGCAATATGAGCCTCCGTGTCTTGTTATAAAATCCAATGGTGACAGCTACACTTTTTACAACATTTCAAAATGTTTATTTATTTTGCTTGATTGACTACATTTTGATTAAAAACAGTAGCAACGTGATAACAAATTTCTTAAAGGAACAATATAGTGTTAGGAATACAAAAATGTATTCCTAATACTATAGTTATGTAATAAATGTTTAGGTGTCCGGCTCCCTCTCTGGAGATAAAGTTTACTTACCTTTTCTCCACTGCTGTACCAGTCTTGCCATGGCTGGCATCCTTTGTAATCTAAGCCAACCTGATGCTTTGCCATAGGGAAAGTTTTGGGAGGCTATTGTGCATGCGCGTCAAAACTCTGTGCTGCGCCATTCAACATATCTTCATAGAGATGTATTGAATCATTGAATTTCTATGGGGATCATTCAGTGTCTCCATGCAGAGAGTGTAGATATTGCACACAGTTCATTTCTGAACATGGATGCACCTCTAGTGGTTGTCTGAGTGACTAAAAAGAAAGTGTTGCTATTTCTCAGCCAGCACGGACAGGCTATAGACACGGGAACCATTACATAATGCTGTAGTGATACTGGTGACTATAATGTCCCCTTAATAGTCTTGCTTCCAATACATTTCAGTGAATATTATAACAGTACTGATATTAATTCACAGCAGATTTAGAGGCTATTGCTGTAGAACATTGCTTTTTCATAAATTTCATGTAATGAATTCTTTTGTATTCTCTTGCTTCAAGTGAAGATTTCCAATCTTCTAAAGAAGAGGATGTTTTGGCAAAATGGGTTGCAGATCCTGCTAATACAGAATGGATGGAAAGTAGGTATCACTGCTTCACTACTGATTAGAACATATCCTTTATCTTATTATACTTTATAAAGATTTTGAAAAAATAGTATATGTGGTGAAAAAATATTAATATTTAATTATAAAAATGTAAAACGCAATGCATATGTGTATTTTTAAGGCAATTAATATAACTGACATTTTTAAGAGTATGGTTTCCCAAAATACCATGATGCCTAGTACTTTAATTTGAATACAAATATTATGTATAAGAGAGATTGGCCCTATTTTGGTCCTTAGATTTATATAATAGTGAACAGATAAAGGGGGTAACCCTAATATACTAAATGACAAAAAAGAAGAATAATCTGTCACTAGGTTCAATGAAAAGAAGAAAATATAGACAAAATACTTTATTAATAAAACTAAAAACAGTCACAAACACCTGCTCAAACACTGATCACGGCTATCTAAATAGTGGATAATCAAGATAGCAAGTGTGATAAAGTGATATACCTTGAATCAGGGGTAAATAAACGAACAGGAATGGGAGTGAGATTAAATGCAATAGATAAATAAATAACCAGACAAGAAAAAGCCCCAAAAGGAAAAAAGAAAAAACGTAACCGAAAATAATATTAATGGTAGATAGCTGCACAGAATGTGCAGTCTAATGGCATCTAAAGCTACTGAACACTGTCATAATAAACAGTAATATATATACAAAGTAGCTGAAATAAATGCCAAATAGATGAGCTGAGTAGCTATAAATCTAGAAAGAAAATGTTGCCAAATGGATGGCAACATACATGTCAGCGTGCAATAATGTAGCGCACGTGAAATATAAACATATATTATATGTTTATATTTCACGTGCGCTACATTATTGCACGCTGACATGTATGTTGCCATCCATTTGGCAACATTTTCTTTCTAGATTTATATTATTTTCGGTTAAGTTTTTTCTTTTTTCCTTTTGGGGCTTTTTCTTGTCTGGTTATTTATTTATCTATTGTATTTAATCTCACTCCCATTCCTGTTTGTTTATTTACCCCTGATTCAAGGTATATCACTTTATCACACTTGCTATCTTGATTATCCACTATTTAGATAGCAGTGATCAGTGTTTGAGCATGTGTTTGTGACTGTTTTTAGTTTTATTAATAAAGTATTTTGTCTATATTTTCTTCTTTTCATTGAACCTAGTGTCAATGAAGTGGTTGGGTTTCTGAAAATGTTGCTGTTAAAACAGCAATTTAAAACACATTGTTCATATTTGACTCTCTCTTTATTTTATTTTTGTTCAAGATCCTGATGAAGTAATATATGATGATGTACCAAGGGAAAATTCTGATTCTGCTACAGGTAAATATTTGTAACAAATATGTGAAGAGGAGACTGTGTCCTGAACATTCATATTTGAACTGGAGAGTTGCTGAAATTAACTGCATTCATACTCCATTCACAAAGCAGAGCCATGTGTGAAAAGTAAAAAAAAATAAAAAAAATTAAGGCTATATAACAGCCAGGGCTGGCCTTAGGCCATTAGGCACCCTTTGCGAAAAGTCTTCACGGCTCCACCCCCCTCCACCAAGTTGCCTGTATATAGTCACACAAACAGTTACAAGCAGACAGTCAGACACGTTCAGTTACAGGCAGTCACACATACAGTCACACACACAACAGCACAGCTACAGCAACACACACAATTGGAGTCACACACAGTCAGACAGTCACACACACACAGGGAGGCAGTTACACAGACAGTCACACACACACACAGGCAGGCAGACAGTCCCCCTCTCCACACACGCAGGCAGTCACACAGTCACACACACAGGCAGGCAGTCACACATACAGGCAGGCAGACAGCCCCCCCCCCACACACACAGACACAGGCAGTCACACAGACAGACAGTCATACACAGGCAGACTGTCACACACAGGCAGGCAGACTGTCACACACAGGCAGGCAGACTGTCACACACAGGCAGGCAGACTGTCACACACACACACAGGCAGGCAGTCACACAAACAGGCAAACAGTTACACACATAGACAGTCACACACAGGCAGGCAGTCACACAGACAGGCAGGCAGTCACACAGACAGACAGACAGTCACACAGACAGACAGTCATACACACAGGCAGGCAGTCAGGCAGTCACACAAACAGGCAAATAGTCTCACACAGGCAGGCAGACAGTCAGACAGACACACAGGCAGGCAGTCACACAAATAGGCAAATCGTCTCACACACAAAGGCAGGCAGTCACACACGCAGGCAGTCACACACGCAGGCAGTCACACATGCAGGCAGTCACACAGACACCGTCACACACCCAGGCAGGCAGACAGTCACACACACACACACACACAGGCAGTCAGGCAGTCAGACTCACACACACACACACACACACACAGACTTTCCTCTTTCCATTATGGCTGAAAGGGGGAGTGGATGCAGTTCCTGTGCAGCAGTTACCAGGAGCTTAGGGAAGGTATTAGCCCCGCCTCTGCCTCATAAGCCCCGCCCCTGCCGCTCGTTAAGCCCCAACCCCCGATGCCTCGATTTTTACATTTTAAAAAAATTTTTATAGACCCGGGTGGAGAATAATGAAATCCTCCACCCGGGTACCTGTTTTAGCTACCCTGACACCGGCCATGTGCGAGCTGTGTCGGCCACATGGCGCCCCCTGGTCCATGGCGCCCTGTGCGGCCGCACTGCTCGCACACCCCTAAGGCCGGCCCTGATAACAGCTTCATATTAAATAAAAATATCATGATTTAGTCACATCGATCTAATTTATATCATTCAGAATTTAAGCAAGTACCTATGGCTGTATTGGACTAAACTATTTGCTGTTCTAAAATATTCAATTTACATTGGATTCTAAACACATTCTAAATGAGGAGATTACATCACATGCATATAATTTGAGGTTTTCCTTAAAGCAATACTCCACATGCCTCAAGCACTTTAGCTTGCTGAAGTGTTTTTTTTTTTTGTTGTTTTTTTTGTGTGTCTTAAGATGACAAGCAGGTCAAGAGTGTAACAACCAAACATTGACATTGTAACATGAAGGTATAATAGCTTAGGGAGATCAGCGACATAGTTTAAGTACACAGAAGTGTGACCAAGTAGGAGGTGAATGGTCCGGCTGTCTTCTAATTGTACCCCTGACCAAGGGGGCGGCGGGGGAAATTATTGGTGGTAGAGCACTCCCCTGTGCATGGGTGAGTACCCTGTCATCTGAGAGCTGGAGCATCTATCTACGGGTGATTAGGCTCCATTTAGGTAGCTGAACTAGGCTGAACACATGCACTGTATCTGGCCAAACAATAGTCTTTCTTGTAGATAACAAAAATGAATAGGAAAAATAGTAAAAATAGTTAAACATAGAAGGTTCGAACTGCGGCTTTGCAACTGTCAGCATCACCTGTGTTCAAGTCCCTGGTAAGGAGGTCGGGAGCATCCCAGAGTTGGAGGGGACAGCTCTCTGTGGGTCTCGTGCCTGCAAGCTGGTTTGTTGTGCAAGGTCTGTCTTTGGGCCCGTCAAGCCCAGTTTCTGTAAAAAAAATATCATAGATATTTTGTGTACTGCCCCTTCGTGTGACACTACCAGGAACCTGGGTGATCTCCAGTGATATCCCACTCCTGCCGTTCTAAGCTGGCTGGTAACAGGATTCAGGGATCTTCTCCATTGCAGAGTGGACCTTGTAAGATCTTGGTAGAAGGAGAGTAATGATCCTTCAAATGTTAATGGCATCTTGCCCCGTAGTGCCGTCAGCAGGGATCGTTTGTCCTGCGAGGTAGAGCAGTGGACAATGACGTCTTTTGTCACTATCGCATGAGCTCTGCCTGAGATCGGCAGTCAGTAGATTCCATCCATGGAAAACTTCTTTGCCTGGCTTGGTGGAAGCAATGAAACCACCAGCCTCAGTGGATAGTGAGGGAGCTCATCAGACGTGATTGGGTCAGGTATGCCCCTTATTTTCAGGTGGTTGCGCCGTGACCTGTCATCTAGGGCTATGTAATGGAGTGAAAGGGCTTGTTGATTAGCTTGTAGGGTTAAAACAGTGTCCGTTAGGGATGACAAACCCATCTCGAGGTCAGTGATGTCGCCCTCTGATGCTGTTACCCTGTTCATTACAGCTTGTAAATACGCTTTTATCCCTGCCACATCGGCCCTTTATCGCTGTGATCAGGTTGCGAAAGTCACGTTGCGTGACCGGGGCTGATCTCTCTGTGTCACCTGCAGGGTGAGGTACCTGTTCACACCTGAACCAGTCAGCAGAGTCTTGAGTCCCACCGTCGCTGCCATTTTAGTTATTGGCTGCCGCTGAAGCATAGACCCAATGTCTCTGGTCCGTGAGGGTGGTTCCTGGTTCAGATTCTGTGTCCGTCGACCCATGGTTGGTGTCCGGATGGGTAGAGAAGCGGGCGGGAAAGCCTCTGTGTCTGAGTCCTCAAAGGGCTCTAGGCCGTCAAGTAGTGTAGACAGTTCTAGGCCTGTGGGTGGTTTTTAGGCCCCAGACCTCCGCTTTTGTTGTTTCGCTTCATTGGTGTGTAGGAACAGCATAGAATGCCTCTTGGCGTGCACCTCAGGGTATGCTGGTGATTATGCAGGCGGTGATGGGGTGAGTCCCTAGAAAACAGGCTGTTATTCTGCTTCGCGATCGGAGCGTTGCGAGATGGCGACCGCTCTGGCTCAAGGTTAGGCTCGGCCCCCTTTGCTGAAGTGTTTTATGTGTGAAGAGTGTGCATTTTTTTTTCTTGCAGAATTTTACAAAAAAATCTATTTTGGTCTACATTTTGCAATTCTAGAAAACATCTCCTGTAAGTGCAAGACACATGCAAACTGCCAATAGTATTTCAATACTTTTATAAACATAAATTGGATTATTAAACATTTTAAGAAAACTATATTTGCAGATTTAAAACCTAAAAATCAGAAGTTTAGTTTTTCGTTAAGGTGCGTTCTGTTTAAAAAAAAAAATCTTCACTCTGCTCAAAATGATGCTTCTTTGATTCTGCAAAGTGGGAAAAGCTTTTATAAAGGCTTTCCTATACATTGATTTCTCATTAGAGCACCCTGATTGGTTGTCTAAAAATGCCAAACAATCAGGGCACTCTGGCAGGCAAGCCTCACTAATCTTGAGATTTGCCTTGGGAGCAGTGATACTTGCAGCGATGGGTTCATAGGGGTCTTGGTTGGATCCTCAACTTGACAAAGACACTGTATATGTCGAAACTTTGCTGGGTCCACGTAATGGTGTAATACATGTTCATTTAGTTATGTTGTAGTTCTGTGGCTCCATTATTCTTTTAACTTTGTGAAGGTATTTTGAGAGTAACCTTGGAAGATGCTATATCCACACATACACTCAGTCAACAAACAACACATGACTCACAGAATCAGAATTCAGGGCCCTGGACAACCCTAATCCAGCTCTGGCTCTGTTGATGAATAAATACAGCTCACCTAATTTCTACAAGAATGCTAAAAAAAATACATTACTTTTGAAAGGCTAGTTAATTTTCCTACCTACCATTAAATTCAATGTTTCTTAGGAGAGATAGGCAGTATAATTGACTCGTGTCTCTGACTGCCTCTCTGAGATTTCCAACTGGATGGCTGCTCACTTACTTAAACTCAACCTGTCCAAAACAGAACTTCTGGTTTTTCCTCCCTCAAGTGTTGCTACTCCCGTGTCTGTCTCCCTCCAAGTCAACAGCGCCACCATCACCTCAACCTCACAGTCTTGCTGCCCAGGTGTTCTATTTGACTCCGACCTCTCCTTCACCACTCATGTCCAGTTGATTGCCAAATCCTGCTGCTTCCATCTCAAAAACATTGCTCGCATCTGCCCTTATTTAACACCACACGCAGCTAA